GGCTATTTATTTCTCTTTCTCTATATATACCTAGTAAGCTTTTATATGATGGAGAATCCATTTCTTTTTTTTCTTTCATTTTCTAACTCTAAGCTTTAATAGTGATAATTCACTCTTGGTTCACTGTTGGTGTTATACATTCTACGGGTTTGGACACAGGTATAATGACATATATCCATCATTATAATATCACACAGAGTATTTTCACCGCCTTAAAAATCCTCTGTGCTCTGCTTATTTGTAAACTCCGCCCCCGGCAACCACTGATCTTTTTACTGTCTCTATAGTTTTGCCTTTTCCAGAATGTCATATAGTTGGAATCACACAGCCTTTTCAGATTAGCTTCTTTTCACTTACTAATATGCATTTAAGATTCTTCCATGTCTTTTCATGGCTTGACAGCTCATTTCTCTCTTTTTTCTTTTTTTGCTGAGGAAGATTCACCCTGACCTATCATCTGTGCCAATCTTCCTCTCTTTGGTATGTGGGTTGCCACCACAGCATGGCTGCCACCGAGTGGTGCAGGTCTGTGCCTGGGAACTAAAGCTGGGCAGCCAAAGCAGAGCATGCTGAACTCAACCACCAGGCTATGGGGCTGGCCCCGACAGCTCATTTCTTTTTAGCACTGACAATATTCCATTGCCTGGATGTACAGATCATTCATATTTAATGTAATTATCAATACGTTTGAATTTAAGTCTAATATCATATAATTTGTTTTCTATTTGTCCATTTGTTTATGTTCCTATCTTCTTTTGAATTGAATATTTTTTTCAGGATTCCATTTTATCTCCACTATCAGCTTACTAGCTATACTTTGTGGTTTAATTTAAAATATTTTAGTTGTTGCTCTGGGGTTTACAACGTACATACTTAACTTATCACAGTTTCCCATTAAATTGCTTTAAGTACGGTGTTAAGAACTTCACAATATATTTCTATTTTCTCATTAATTTTTTTATCATTGTCATACATTTTATATCTCCATATGTTTTGAAACCCACAATACATTATTATTTTTGCTTTAATAATCAATTACCTATATTTTAAGAAATTAAAAAATGAGAAAATAAAAGCTTTTCTATGTGCTCACACATTTACCATTTCTGGCATTTTCCATTCCTTTGTTTAGATCCAAGTGGATATTTTTCTCCCACTTGAAGAACCTACTTTAATGTATCTTGTATTGCTGGTCTGCTGGCGATTAATTCTTTCAGCATTTTTCTTCTGGAAAAGTTGGTCTTCATTTTTGAAATGTATTTATCGCAGATGTAGAATCTAGGTTGACAGTTTCTTTTAGCACTTTGAAAATGTCATTTGATTAGCATCTGGCTTACATAGTTTCTGATGAGTATTCTGAAGTAATTCTTTCTTTGTTCCTCTTTATATGTTTCCTTTTTCTCTGGTTAATGTTAAGATTTTTTTTTTTATTATTATTATCACTGTTTATCAGTAATTTGCTTATGATGTGCCTTGGTGCTGTTTTCTTTGTGTTGCTCCTACTTGGGATTCACTGAGTTTCTTCAATCTGTGGGTTATAGTTTTTATCAAATGTAAGAAAATTTTGGCATTACTTCTTCAAATATATTTCCTGCCCCTGCTTCTTCCAGGGACTTTTATTATTACATTTAAGTTTGAGTGCTGCATATTTTCCCAAAGGTTACCATGGATACATTCATATTTTTAAAAATCTTTTTTTCCCCTCTCTGTGCATCATTTTGGATACTATTTATTGCTGTTTCTTCAAGTTGACTGATCTTTTCTTCTACCATTAATTCCATCAAATGACATTTTCACTTCAGATATTGTAATTTCCATTGCTAGAAGTTCTATCTGGATTTTAAATATCTTCTCATATTCTCATCACTATATTAATATAAAAGTAGTTATTACATGTTTCAATATGCTTGTGTGCTAATTCCATCACTTCTGGGTCTGTTTCTATGGACTGATATTTTGCTGCATTCAACGTTTGATTGAATGCTGGCCATCATGAATTTTATGTTGAGTGTCTGAGTTTTGTTGTTTTCCTTTGTTGCCATTAAAGTTACTTGCAGTGCAGTTTTTTCCTTTCAAGGCTTTTTTTAAGCTTTGTTAAGGAGCTTCCAGAGTAGCCTTTACTCTAGGGATAGTTTATTCCCACTATGAAGCTATGGTCCTTCTAGAATCTCTACTGAATCAAGTCCAAAAGGACTCCTCACTCTAGCTGGCTGAAACCTGAATATCCCACAGCTCTGTGTAAACTCTGAGAACTGTTTGGTTTGGAGGTGCCACGGCTGCTTTGCCTGACCTCTGGCATTTCGTCCTACATATATACATCTTAGCACTCATTTAAACTCAGGGGGACATTCTGTGTAGATGTCTAGAGCTCTTTGTCTGGTTAGCTTGTCCTCTTCAGTACTCTGCCCCACAGCTTCTGGCTTCTATTCACTAGTACTATCATCAGAGGCTTAGCAGGATTGTAAAAAAAAAAAAAAAAAAAAAAAAAGGTGTTATATTTACTGATATGATCCTTTCTTCATACTTCCATAGCTGAGCATGAGCACATTTTCCCTACTCTGGAATTTCCCTTTCAGATCTTTCCTCAGGTTGTGCTATTTTTAGGGGATTCTAATATTTTGTGTTGTATTGGCCTTACTACTTAGATACAAGTACATACACAATGGCACTGAAAGAAATATAGAGTGTAAATGGTACCAGAGAGCAACAATAGAATCACATACCTCCTTCATAGTATTCTGAAAAAGCCAAATCAATTACTCTAAGGATTACTGGGTAAAGAATAGTCAGGATTTCAAAATTTCACTAGACATCAAATAATATTTTGTTCTAAGTAGGTGGGAGAACATTCAAATGCTATCTTAAATCTACCTCAAGATTACGACATGAATGAGTTAGTACTGCCTTTAAAATTCTAGCATTAAGACAACAAAATGATTACAGTGAAGAAAGCAACATTTTCAAGTTTCCAAATATCAGTCCAAATACCAGAGCTACACAAAAACAAAACAAACGAGGCTGTGAAAGGATTTCGTGTTTGCCTCATTTCAGCTGTGCTGTGCTCAAGCTTTCTGAAGAAAGAGAAAATGCCACCATCAAGGTTTTATTTCCACAGCACTGCAGCCTCAGAGTGAAAAACCGACAACAAGGTGCCGTTTTACTCTAATGGTGGTTATTTGCATCTAGTGAGTCCAATTTATGATGAATAGTAAAATCGCAACTATATTATAATTTTATAAAGCATTTTAAACATATAGAGAATAATATAATGACCATCTGGGACTCACCACTCAGCTCTGTCAAATCTTAACGTTCTGCCGCAGTTCCTTCAATTTTAAAAGAAATAGTTCACATATATGGCATTGAACCCTGTTTGTAGCCTTCCCTGAGCCTAATTACTATCCTTCTCCAGAAGTACACGCTACGCTGAATTCAGTGGTGATCATTCTTAAGTGTTTTCTTGCGTTTACTATGTGTGTGTCTGTATAGTTGTTTTACATGTTTTTAAACTTCACATAAATGGGTATACTGTAGGAATCATCCTGCAGCTTTTTTTTGTTCAATGTTGCTTTTGACAGACACACACACACAATTTACTTAATTTGCTATAGAGATTTTATTGTATGTAACTACCATATTTATTTATCTTCTGTTGATGGACATTAAGGTTGTTTCTAATTTTTCACTTCTACATACCATACTGTCGTGAAGATTCTTGTACACAGGTTGTGGGAGAGAGTGTTCAGAATACACACCAAGGAAAAAAAATGTGTGGTTGTAGGGATGGTACAACTATACTTAATTTGATGATATCAAACTGTTCTCTAAAGTTGTACCAATTAAGACCACCAGCAGAAGAGCATAAAAGATCCATTTGGCTACATTATTGCCAACACTTGGCACTGTTAAGTTTTACGTATTTTTTTTCCAATAGTGATGGATGAGAAACAGTGTCTTAAAGTTTTAATTAGCTTTTCCCTGAGTCACTAGTTATGTTGTGCATCTTTTCATTGAAGTTTGTTGTATACTCAGCTTTCCTACGGTCAGGAGGCTTTCAGTGAAGGCGGGAGAAAAAGACTTATATGTAATAAGCAGTTTAAATAAAGAAAATTCTATAATCAAATTCTAACTTTTGGAGCTAAGTGTGTAGGTATGTAAGAACTGTAAGAGCTCACATAAGTGAAAAATCACTGGGGTGTAAAACAAGGGAGTGTAGAATTGGACCTGTCCTTGAACACTACGTAAGACCTGAGGGGTGGACAGTGGAGAGAATTCTAGGCAAATGTATTCTGAACACAATAACTACTAACCGACTAAAGAGACTGACAGTCTCTTTAATTTATACTTTACCTCTATTGGTGATATTTTTCTTTGGTCACTTGGAAAATGAAAATATTTTCTTTTAGTTATATTTGCAACTTAGTAAATACTAGTTATTGCTTAAAGAAAAGTTTTCTGAAATATTTTGTCATATTCAAAATAAGAGCTATGTAATATGTCACATACATTGTAACTGGCAGAAATTAGATTTAAATCAAGTTTTCTTTAAATTACTTCTTTAATGAAATAATATGCCATCTAAAATTTATGTAGGGGCCGGCCCAGTGGTGTAGTGGGTAAGTTCGCACAGTCCGCTTCGGCAGCTCAGGGTTCACAGGTTCGGATCCCGGGCATGGACCTATGCACCGCTCATCAAGCCATGCTGCGGCAGCGTCCCATATATAAAGTAGAGGAAGATGGCCACAGATGTTAGCCCAGCAACAATTTTCCTCAAGCAAAAAGAGGAGGATTGGCAACAGATGTTAGCTCAGGGCCCATCTTCCTCACTCACACACACGCACAAAATTCATGTAGATGGTAATCTCTAAGAACACCTTACCTTAACATCTGTTATACTGTGTCAAATACAGTGGGCACATAAACAGTGGTTGTAGAATGAATGAATATTGTTTATTTCAGAATGAATAAGACATGTTTCCCCCTTTACTTTTCTTTCTTACCTGCTTTAACTGAAAATGGCTTTTCCAACAGAAATATTGTTTGTTTCCAGTGTGTTTTGGTACTCTGGGGGCCCGTAGAGAACACGACCTGCATTCGTAGAGTTCAAAAGTATCTGATGAAGTACAAGATTTTTAATATCATGGTACATTAATCTGCTACATCAAATACAAGCTCCAATTGCTTACAACAGCAAAATGCTTATGATCAAACACCTTGGGGCATAAAAATACAATATACTTCACATAATTCTTATGGGAAAACTCATGATACTTACTCTGTTGTGGCAATTCTTCTCAAAATATATATCAAAGTAGCCAGCAACTGCCTGTTTTTTTAAAAAAAAGGAATATAAATAATTATTAAGTAATTACATGACATAATTAATTATTCAGTCTTTTAAGACATGGCAAACAAGAAACCATTTCAAAGACCAGATACCTCTTAAACTTACGGCAAGCCACTGTTTTTCCTGGAAAAGATGTTATAAGTAAAAATAAAGTAATATAATTTGGCTTTTTCTCATAGAAACTACATAACAATAAGGGTAACAAGGCTAATCAAATAACCAATATGTGTTTCATTAGAGAAACGATCATGGTAGACTACTGGAAGGTGAGAGACTACATGGAGAGAGGGGCTCAGCTGGCCCCTGGCCAATCCAGGCTCTCCCACTGAGATGCTTCCTTGTGCATTACGCCATCTTGGACCCTCCAGCTCTACTCAAGTCTCCAGACAACGGCAGCAGCATGAGAGACACCAGGATAGAGCAGCAGCAGAACTAGTAGATAAATCCAGTCCAGACTGCAGAATCATAAATAAATAAATCCAACTGATTGTGACTTCAAGGCACTAAGTTTGGGGTTGGTTTGTTGCACAACAATAAATAACTAAAACATAATCTTTTATACAAAGCCAACTCAATTTCTCCTGATCTCGTGTTTTAAAGCAAAGTACTATGAATATTTTTATGATGAGATCAACAGAATTTTTAAATGTTATGTATTTTTTCTGAAAATAAAATAAAAATAAATAATAGTACTTAAATAAAAGTTATGTTTAAGCAAATACCCAAAGGAGAAACTTCAAAGTAACTCTAAGAGTTACTGTGATAGTACAAAAAGGTCTCTAAAAGAAATCAAAAAGATAAATATATAATTTTCAGATGAATATATAATTTCTTTTTGTTTAAAATTTAAATGATACAATTCCTTTTTACTTCACTAATGGGACTAGTTTGACTTAATCTATTTTAAAACTGGCATTAAACAAAGCTTACAAAGTGTTAAAAACAGGACACTGATTATTGAAAAATCACTATAAAGCTAATTTGTGTACTCTGCTGCTTTTGTTGAGAATGTGGTTTCATTGATCTGTAGGCTTAATATAGATTGGATCCAAAATTAACCTTAAAGTTCACTCTACTTTAGATACCAAGAGAGAATTCAAATACTAGTTATAATTCTGTCAAATAGAATTATAAAGCAACACAGTCCTCAGCTACAGATTACTACAGAAAACCATGCAGTTAATAAGAAATTTCTAAAACATAACTTTTTTCAGTTGATTTCCTAATACCCCTCCACAGACTAATTCAACTATTTTCTTAAATTTATTCCTATATGCCTGACTTGCTCACCACTATATCCTTAGCGACCAGGGCACTGCCTCGCCCATAGTACACAATAAATATTTGCTAAGTGAATGTGCTTATTATACACAATTCTATTACAGCACTTACCACACTGTATTATAGTTAGTTTGCCCCATCAGAATGCAATTTATTTAATAGCAAAGCCCATGTGTAACTCACATTTCTCTGCCCCTTACCCAGCATGAGTCTGTTATATAGCAGGTTCTCAATAAATTTTAGTTAAATTAAAATTTTTAGTCTTCAGTTTCTTAAATATAGCTAGCATTATTATGTAGTCAGTACACTTTGTAAATCATTGAATAACTAATCTTAGATGGAAATTGTAATCTTAAACTCTGAAAAAAAATGGAGAGTGTAGGACAAATATGGGGAGGAGAGAGCTAGAGAAGAGGATCCCCTAATTCTCTGTATGAACCCGCACAAGTCTCAGCCTAACCCCTGAACTATGTAGCTCAGGTTAGAACCAAACCAACATAACCAAGGCTGAGAGAACTGAACTAAAATCTGAATCACTGGCACAAGTCTCAGGAATAATCTCTGAATAAAATGTGCATGGGAAAACCCCAAAACAACAAGTAAAGGCTTAGAGAACTAAAGTGAGATTTGAAAAACCTGTACAAGTCTCAGACTAATCCCTAAACTGCATATGTGCAGGAGAGACCCAAAACAGAATAGCAAATGCTCAGAAAATGGAACTGAGACTTGAACCACTGTCTACCCAGACACTGTTAGAGAACTTGTATTCTGACTTTAACTAGGTTGACAGCCTGCTGAACCACACATCCACATCCTCTTAGACGATTATAACATGACCGCGAGTCCACAAAACGTAACACGCACAACATCCAGGATACAATCCAAAATTACTCGATATACAAAGACCCGGGAAAATGTAGCCAACTCTCAAGAGAAAAGACAATCAGTGGATGCCAACTCTGAGATGCCCAGAGGCTGGTACTATCAGACAAGAAGTCTAAAGCAAATATTATTAACTATGCTGGTGTGAGGTAACAGAAAACACAGTGAAATCAATCAAAGGATAGGAATTCTCGGCAGAGAAACAGAAACTACAAAAAAGAATCAAATGGAAATTTTAAAACTGAAAAATACAACAACTGAAGCAAAAAACTCCCTGGGCTAAAGTGCAGAATGGAGATGACAGGAAAAAAAAATCAGCGAATTTGAAGATAGATCAAATAGAAATTATCTAATTTGAAAAACAAAGAGAAAAAAACTGAAATAAAACGCACAAGGCTCAGGGACCTGTGGATCTGGCATACAGGTAATTGGAGGCCCTGATGGGAAAAAAAAAGATTTGGAGCAAGATAAAAAACCTTTCAAAATTCTATATCCAGCAAAAATATCCTTCAGGAATGAAGGCAAAAATAAAGACATTTTCAAGTGAAGGAAAACTAAAAGAATTCACCGCCAAAAGACTTTTTAGAAGACATTTTAAAGGAATTTCTTCAGGCTGATAGGCAACAATATCAGAAGGAAACCTGAAACATCAAAAATAACAGAAGAATAACAGAAATGATAAATAGTTGGATAAATATAAAAAACTACCTTTTTCCTCTGAATTCCTTTAAAATATTTATAGTTGTTTAAAGCAAAAATTGTAACATCACCTGGTCGGATTTTCAATGTATGCACATGTAATCACAAATTTCAGTGCAGGGTGGGTGAGCAAGGAGGGAGGAAGAGGGAAATTCCACCAATATATACAAGTGTTTATAACATTTGGAAGTGAAGAAGGCTTTTTGAGCATCACACACAAACCAGAAACTTAATATAAGGGATATTTAAAATTTTAGTATCAAAATTAAAAGACAACAAATCTGAGAACATTTGCGATATATATATCATATATATGTCACTGTCCTCTGTACATTAAGCTACTACAAATTAGTAAGAAAACAGTAAGTCAAAAGAAATAACAAAAGACAAAGCAGGAATTTATAAAAGAAAAATCAAATGATTAATAAGCATGTGAAAAAAATGTTTGACCTATTTAGGAAAAAAAAAGTAAAGTAAAATAAACAGATATAAGTTTCCCTGATCAGGTTGGAGAAAACATTTTTTTAACGCTAACATTCAACGTCAGTGGGGAAAGCGGCTTTTGTGTGGGGAAAAGAAACTAAAATAACCTTTCTAGAAGGAACTTAGCAGAACATATTAAAGGACAAAATATTTGCATTAAAAAGAAGCCAGATACAAAACAGTACACATGATATGATTCCTTTTATATACAGAAAACTCAAAAATAGCAAAACTAACTTACAGTATTGTAAGTCAAGATAGCAGTTACCCCTGCAATAGGGGTAGAAACTGGAAGGGGTTACACGGTGGGCTCCTAGGTTACTGGTAATATTCTGTCTCTAAAGCTGAGTGCTGGGTACATGGTGAGTATTTACTTTGTGCAATTTTATCTTTTGATTTTACACTTATTTATAAATTTAAATTTATACTTATGATTTGTGCACTTTTCTGTTTTGTAAGTATATGTTAGGTACTCAATTAAAATGACTATATAATGTACATACTCATTGACCCAGTAATTCTAAACATTCAAGAAATTATTTTATGGACATTATTAAGTATACTTGCAAAGATTTAGCCATAGATGTCAATTTCAGCCCAGATTTTTCAACCATAGGTGACCAGTTAATAAATCAGATCATCTCCATATAATGGAATTACATTTGGCTGTCAAAAGTAATCCTAGATACATATTTACTGATTTGGAAAAATAGTCACAATATACTATTAGGTGAAAAGAATAATATGTATATTATGGGCACTTATTATATGTTATAGAAATATGAATATATATATGTATGTATTTGGAAAGATATTCACCAAGCTATTGAAAGTGGATGATAGATTTGGAATATTCATATTTTTTGTGTTTATATATAATTTATATTTCTCATAAAAATGAACAGCTCCTGTGATAGTAAGTTAATAATACTTGAGTTAAATGATCTATAGTATTTGCATGGAGAGGCATTCAATTCAACTATTACCTTTGTATCAGCTGCCTTAATGACTCCCCAAATCACTCATCTCTGTAACCCCAAGGGCTAGGGCAGTGTCTAATATGTAGTATTATTTGATATAAATACTTGATAAATTTGGAAAAAAAAGTGACAAATTTTCCCCAAATAGTAATTCCACAAAAATAACATTTTCTAATGAAGAGATTTGCAAAAGTGAACTCAGAGAAAGTAGCAAGTAGAAGAAAAAAGACATTTATAAATGGAAGAGTCACAGTAATAAGAAATTGCCAAACTACATGAAAACATTAAGACTTTTAAGATTTTCGTAAGTGGGTTACACATTACCCTGTAATTATTCTTTAAGGTATACATACGTTTTACGTACTGCTTATATTCTATGTTGCCAAAAAAGAAAGTGGAAAAAATCCTAGTAAAGTAATAAAACCTTTTGTGAAAACAACAAATTTGGGTTTAAAAGAAGCTCTTCTAACATTATCAGAACTTGTGACCTGAGTCTGAAATGTATAAAATACAAGAAGTGAAACATCACATATTTAACTCTGGTAAAAAACACTGGCAATATTAATACAGCAGAACAACTGTAGAATTATAATCATAGAATATAGGTCTTAACAAAGAGGAGAGGCTGATGCACAAGTTTACAACAAAATTAAA